CGTAGCGCAAACAAAATCCCTCTGCTACAGCAGGGCATTTTAAATGCTGTCTCGGTCATGGTCACTTACACTCCTCCTGTGACTTGTGCCCACTAGCACTCCCCTATCTGTCACTACTCGCAGGTCATCTGGACTTTGGCATTAAGGAACAGTAAGATTCAGTTATTTGCCTCCTGAAAGGGAAATAACTTAGTTCACTAAGTTGATATGCACTGGCTTGAAAATTCTGCCTGAAATTGTATGGCTAGGAAACTTTATTTTGCTACTCCAAGGGAAGGAGAAAATGCCTGACTTCATTGATGGGGCCACTGTCTGCCTTATTCACGCACACTCTGCTTTCAAGGGTGAAATGGGTTTCAGCATGCTGAGCGTCCTTGCCCGCTCGCCCTCCTTTCTGCCCTTTCCCCCCAGCTGACTGTTCTGGCAGGATTCTCAGAAGCAGACTGAGGATGGCACAGAGTTCCCACAGAACGGAATTTATAAAGACTCGAATGAAAATAGTTTGCTCTAAAACATAAGGAACTGTGCACGCATTTCTCACTACCAGGCAGCATCTGTTGTTCTGAGTGCTGGAGGTACACAAAGGATTTTTCTCCCAATAACTCACATTTGCATTCATTCCCAGGAAAGTACAATCACTCTGAGGGGAAATGCTCGCTGGATATATCTCTCCCACCCGCAGTGATAAGTGCGTACCAGCTATGCTGCACTAACTGATGGGACTGAGAATATGGTGAGGCCTGTTGCTTCCTTCTGCATGCGGCCGTCCCGCTGCTTCTGGTCGGGGCTTTTCTCATACACGGGATTTACGAGAAGGCAAGACCGAGGAACTGCATGAAGATGATACAAAAGATAATACGGCTGGCAGCCTTCCCTTCCTTTGGCAGCCCGTGCCTGTTCTGCAACAAGCCATGTTGGGAAAGGCCTGTTTTCTGCACAGACGAGCACTAGCACTCTGTGAACCTCGGTCTGTTGACAACGATGTTCGCCGTGGATCTTAAGGCAGTCTCTCAGGTATGCTGGTCCCAGTCCATTTAAGGATTAAGAGGTTTTAGACTGAAGAGAACTTGATACTTCTTTGACAATATCATGCAGCCGAATTCTCACTGCAAATGTGTGCCACTTCACACAGCTGAAATTTGATAAATGCTGCTCAACCACATGGAGCTGAAAAAAGTAACCACTTTATTATCAATGCATTTTTTGTGCAATTCTTGCATTTTCCATAGCATCAGCAGTTACAAAGGGCAGAAGGTGCTGTCCTGTATCATTCTGACATTCTTAAGATTATTTTTTTTTCCTTCTTTCCAATACTTCCATGAGACTGTTAATGAAAACGCAAAAATCTGCCTTGGAAAAAACCAAAAGAAATCTCTAATGTGAAAGCAAGGAAGTTACTCTCTGAAGATGGGTGGCAGTATCAAGCATATCAGAAGAGCAGGCAAAACTATCAAATGTAAATTCTTCACACCTAAAGTGTAGATTAGCAGTAGAAAACCTATCAGCATGGGACTGCAACAGGTACATACATGAAGAAAGCAACAAGCTAGAGCACAACTGTGCAGGCTGTGTCATCCCAAGCTAGCACTGCAATTCTGTACTAGTGATAAAAAGGAGTCATTAGCTTCACAGTCCTCTGGCCTACTCTTACCATTGTCCAATTTAATTCTTGGTTGTGAGAGACAAACTAAGCAAAATATAAATGCTTCTAGTGTAATCCTTGTTCACCAGAGTTACTGAAGGCACAAATCCAGGAAAAAATTCAAAACCTAAACCTTACTTGGCAATGGTTGCATTGCAAGGAATAGACACTGCTTCCAGGAGGGCCTGAGTATGCCCAACACCAGTAGCACGTGCTATATGTGCAACATCATCTTCCATACCAAAGAGAATAGATTTGTAACTGTAGCAGATGACACAAGAAAACTGAGAAGAAGTCGGAGAGCTCTCATATATTTCAACACAGCTTCTTAGCAATTTATAAAGCAAGAATGGAGAGGGAGATTCAAGAAAGCCACAAACTCCCTCTTCAAGTGAATCCACAGAACAGATTCTTTGTGGTATGTTCGAAGTGGATCATCTTTCTGTGCCTCTTCTGCTTATTCACAGAGAGACAGTTTACGGCACACATAGCGCAACTGCGTAATTTTTGAAGCTCGTCCTGAAATCTGGGCCAGGGGTGTGTGTGTCATAAAAATGCCCCATTTAGGCCCCCCAAACCCCAGTACTTTCAGAATCCCCACTTGATTTACTGTTCTTTGAAATGGAATCCACTGATCCAACTTTGGCGCAATGCTTGCTCTTTAAAAAAGGAAGAAAAATAATCACTGTCAAAAGGCTAAATGCTGTTTTAAGATTTAATATTTTAGCAGCTTACCTTGCAGCCTTCACATGTAATGACACCATAATGGATTCCTGATGATTTGTCTCCACAGATCTTGCATGGAATAATTTCAATTTGAGCTGCAACAGAAGCACGCAACCAGTTAATTACATTTTCTTTTAAACACCTTATAAAGGCATTCCCTGATCAGCATTTGTACAGTGAAAACTAATAACCTGCTAAACATTATACTGCATTAACTATTCATTGCTGAACTGCAAGGGTCCCCTAGAGCTTTGGACTAAATTATGGCTGCTCGTTATATAATAGCTTTTGGGTTATTAAAATGGGTCATTTGAGAAGGTGTTTAAGAACCCACAAGAAGGCTAGAATCAGCATTTCAAAGCCAAAAAGAATCAGAGAGTTCACATTTTGGCCAAAGAGCTAAGATGACACTAGAAAGACTTCTTCCAATCTTATTCATGTGAGACCGCAAAAGGTAATTTTAAAGTTTGTCCTGCCTGCAAATGACTGCAACACCTTTACTAGAGGGATCACCATCATGCCATCCAGTTCGCACGATGGCCAACCATGAAGAGAAGAAACAAGGTAAACGGCAACTGCATTTTACATGACAAATCCAAAATTCACTTATCTGACTTGAAAGTGAATTATCAGGACATATTTGTATATTAGCTACCACGGAACAAACGAGGGAGAGAAGTTCAGCAGTATTCCAGTCAGCTTACAAAACCAAAGGAGTTGGTGCAGCCTGGAAAATGCCATAGAGATACACAACATGAAAACTCTTGAATTTTTAAATTGAACTTTACACATATAAAACATACCTACTGAATTCAGTCTAGTGTGTGACAAAACCCTCTGCATCTTTCTCTAAATCACAGCACCTTCCATACATGGATTTCAGAAGGGACTCCTATACGCTCAGGAATACCTCTTCAACTGCTTTTGGAGTATATGGCTGCAGGTATTTTGCTAGCAAGCCTTTCTGGACAGGACCGTGCTAAGGCAGTGCTTTACAAGTATCAAAGACCAGCAGTCCACATTTCACATATGCTTGCACGTGCTCACACAAACAAAAAAATCCACAAAAAATCCCAAGAAAGCACTTTCTCTGCTGCAATGGTGTTAGGATCAGGCTACATCAGTTTTCCTGAACCGGCTTAATCCGAACAGGAGTACAAATGCCACTCGTGCTGTGTCTCTAACTGTAGTATATTAACAAATCAGAAGTGCTGTTAATCTCCTGTGAGGAACTGAAATCCATTCACAAGATGCCTGATTGTTCAGAGAGCTTTTATTTCATCCAGTTTATGGCTATCCAGACTGTGACAACACGTACAATTGCATCTAATACTGTCTTACAATGCATTCGCTTAACTTCAGTTGTACTCTGAGCGTTGTTTTCAAAAAGTCACGTCCACTCTCACAAACGCTGTGGTTTACATGCCATTAAATCCCTGACTGACTGCTTATTAAACAAGAATCATCTTCCAGTGCTACTGTGTGCTCCACTTCATTGCAGCCTGACATCACAGCTCAGGATCAGGACAAAACTGTAACTATAAACTAGGAGACCTGAAGATCTTTAGCACAGCACTGACTGTGCTAAAATACTCCTTCAAAACTCTCTCCAGACAATATCCAATGCAATGACTGGAGCAGCTGAGTAGCACCCAAACAGTACCCATTTGCTACCAGGAACCTAACAGCATTTATGCTTTGCTGAGGAAAGCGGTGCCCAGCAGCCACGGGACCACATTGCGGTTTTCCTGACAGTTCCGTATCAGCAGCTTTCAAAATATTTTTATACGGCAGGACACTACTTGCATCTGCTTCCACCGTAAGGATCTTTGCATTCTTGACCTTTAATCCCCCACCTTCCCTGCAGCAACAAAACGACAGGCTGAAATTCAAAGGTCTGTTTAGGACACTTAAGGAAGGAAATACTTCTTCCCTGCATTCCTCCAAAAACTGTTTTCATTTCACTTTGCTCTCAGCAAACACATTAAACACAACGGAGCAGGAAATGAACTAATAAAAGGGGAAAATAAAGTGTATGGTATTTTATTAATGTGTTACATTAATTATTACTAGAGCATCATATGTTTATGAACAAAGCTTCGAACAGAACGGGTAGCACAACCCCACTTTGTATCAACAAATTGAACAACAGACTGAAATTCATGAACTCAAAATTGGTGTAAGGTGCAGTTCAAATTCAGAGAGCAATCCCGTGGGCAAATTCCGGAATAGGTCTACCGATTTCCCAGTCGTGCCTTTTCAATATACAATTATTTTTCTACTCTCCTACAGTGAGCCAGCAGCCTTCTCCAACTCCTTTGACAAGGCAGGGACAAGGCTTATCTCAACAGCTACGTGGCAGTGTATTTTTTACATTTCACTTTTATATACATAATTACTGCCTTATTTTGAATAGGTATGATACAATTGGATCTTGTTTATCTGCAATCTCCAGCACATTAGCTAAATCACCCATGAAGCCTGTCTATGCAATCCCTATTTCTTAAGCAACAGGACACTTGCAGTGTTTCTGAAGAAATGTAACACGTGTTCAAAGTGATGGCCCAGAGCTAGGTTACTAATAGTCTAAAAGGTGCCGTAATTGGCCCCAAATGCATTTTCCAGGGTGCTTTAGTGTTAGAAGAGAATCTCCACAGATTCACAGGCTCCAGCTGTGCCAGCATTTGCCAACCATTGTGTGTATGAGCTGCAGCACCAAATCGGGTATAGTTCTAGAATTCTGGATTTCCTCAAATTTATGACATCTTCAAGGTATTTACCTTCAATTAAGCACGCAGCATGTAAAACTTCAACTTATCATTTCTCTCTGAGATACAGAACAGTGGGATGAAACTCAGAAGCATAAATCGCTTGGGACTGCCACAACCAATTCTATTTACAAATTAACGCATGGAAAGACATCAGATCAATTATTGCTCCACGTGGTTGCCTTTGCAAGTCAGCTCATTGAAATGGAATCCCTGTCACAAGTTCATACACTTTCCATATAGCATGAAAGGACTTAGATACTTTAAACTTACTAAATGCAAATTGCCTGTGCCAAGATTATGCATTTTTCTTACAAGGGTGAAAATATTTTCCCCACTTTTAACTTTGACATGCAAATATGTACTTGCTAAAACCTTGTTCTTATGCAAACAAGGCAGGTGGGAAATATTTTTACATGTCAAGAATATGTTCCAACTTGGTTTCTCACATTCCCAGAGTTACTTAAAGCTTCCTACTGTGCTCACGTTAATTGTACCTGTTCTGTGCTTACATATATTTATATGGTTTATTTTTCAAGATTATATAAAATACTCTAATTCATGCTTTAGACTAGAATTAGCCTAAATTACAGTTTACAATTTCTGTCTCCTGGGGTGGTGCTCAGGCTGATTCTCGTTCATGCATGAGCAAATTATTTCTTAAACATGAATTGCAGAAAAAAAATAAACTCTTGTGGTTGCTTAGAAACCGCTACAGATATCCAGGTGACAGATGTAGTTTGTATTCTCAGATTAAAGGCCTCAGAATCTTTCACACCCTGAAATAACAGTGCTCCAGAATACTACCAAGGATGTCCTGTGCCAAAAGCAGCAATGCGTAGGAATAAAAGCCCAAACAAACCTCCAAGAGCAACAAATGCAAGCTCAAGCACAGAGACCCACCGCAAGCATCAAACAAGTTGCTACAGAAACAAGTCCTCAGAGAGACAAGTGACCATTGAGGGTTGGAGGTACTAATCACCACAAACTCATGTCAAACCCAAGGCAAACTCATCTCCATAGGAAAGGGCATCTGACATCCACTAAGATCTCTCTGTATACGTGACTTTAACATGTAGCTGCTCCTATCACTGGAACTCCTGGTAAGCTTTCTTCTGCTGTAACATCGTATGGTCTTCATTTTACAGCAGGAAAATTTGAGTGCAAACTCTTTCATTTGCTCGAAATCAGAATAGGAACTTGAGCCGAAGTATTATGGGGGCAGGGGGGGAAGCCTGTGTTTTTCCCCTGAACCCTTCTTCTTTCTCCATCCACTGTGTCTTCACCTGGCAATTGTCTGAAGTCGCTCTGGTATGCTTAAGTCACACACTTGCCTCCACCTAATTCCTACCGAACATGCCTACCAGACAACCAGAGAGAGCACTAAACAACACCTTTTGTTGGCATCCAGAACAGAAGAATACACCTTATTCCCTCCTACTCTAGGCTTCACTTCTTTCCCCAAATCTGGAACAGTTTCACTGGGCTTGCCTGCCTTTTTCAAGCTCCCTAGCCCAACCAACCCCTCTAGACAGGCTCTCACTCTTTATTAACTCCTGCATCATGAAATGCTGCTTTATTCCTTGTCCGGTTTGAGCAGCAGAGGAGGAAAGAAATCCGATTCTCTATTTGTGAGGAAATGCTCTGTACAAGCTCATCATAATCTTCAGTTTCTTCCTTTCTAACTCCTTGGGCAGACTCCAATCAGGACAAGAGCTCACACAGCCAAGTAAAGCATGGGGCATCTTTCTCCCCAGTTCTGCCATTTAAGTAGAAACACATCGAGCCTCCACGCAGGAATGTGTATTACCAGTCCAACCTGAAGAAAACATTTCAAAAGAAAAAATTATTGTCCAAAGACAGAAGTTCTTTTCCTCCCCATTAGTGTGTCTGAATGAAATGTTTGTTTCTAGTGAATTAACTGTCTTGGAGTAGAAAAAGGATCTTCCCATTCCTTCTCCTGCTTTCACACTGTTATTTTAAAACTGAACATTCACGCAGATCACGTGTTTTTTCCATTTTGTAACAGGTGTGAAACCTCAGATTTGGTATCCTGGGAAGGGCTCTTCAGTGGAAGCAAAAATTGGTCCCCATTGCTGCCTTTTAGGTGAGATTCACCTAGCTGACCTAAGCTACCTTGAAAATGGGGTAATTAGCTGAAGTTAATTGTCTTGTCTGCTTCTAGAGTGATGAGGAAGGGAGGAAGAAAGAGAGAGAAAAAGAAAGGCAGGGAGAAAGAGAAAGCAAGAAGGGGGCATGATTCATCTTATTCAAGACAAGCGAGATGAACCCCTGAGTGGAGATGCCTCCTTTTCACTCACCAGAGAAGGAATTTAACGATACTGTCATTACAAGCCTAACGTTTAGAAGGTGAAAGTCAGGAGAATCCTACTGCCTCTTACTATTTCTGATTTCAAAAATTATCATTTTCTGCAAAAGAAAACCTGCGTAGGAAGTGCTCCCTTATGCTCCCGTGGTACACAGGGTCCCAACCACCTGTGTACGCTGGCACCATTGAGATAAGAGCGTTTCTATGGGGTTTCCCACCACAGCTCCCACCCTTCAGCTCTCAAGGCAGCAATGTCAAGAAATTCCAGGTACACACATTCCTTTTTTTACTCAGTAAAGATGGACTTAAGCACACTGGTTAGTCTGCCATTTCTTAAAACCTCTGTGGGCACTGAGCATCCTTCTCCAATCCACTGGCTTTCTGCGAAAAGCATCCTAACCAAAATTGCTAGCTGAAATGAGGACTTCCCTTACGGCTAGATGTGGGATACGTACAACAGCCAGGACTGCAGCTGGGATCTCCTGGGTCTCCGGGTACTGCTTAAGAAGTTATCCTTTCTTTGACTGCAAGGAAGATTTAAATTCCTTCCCCTGAATGTGGCTCGCCTGTACCCGGCTTCACAGGGTACGTACAATCTCGCAGCTAATTCAGAAAGGCTTTGAAATAAATATGATACATACACAAACTGGGCTACCCTGCTTCTAAAGGCACACAGTTTGTGCCAGACATCCCTGCTAGTGCTGTTTGTAAGTATATTGATTAAATTAGGAGGCATACATATTCACTGACATATTCATACATATTCATTGACTCAAACAAGGGTACTGCATGTAATGTGGTATTTAAAGCAACATAATATCTGATCACAAACTGAATTAACAAGGAATGATTTTACTATATAATATTCTAATCTTCCTGCATTTTCAGCTTCATTACCTAAATAATTTGCTCTGTCATGTACCCTAAGTAATTTGAGCTGGCTGCAAATTACTTGCCTACGAACACCTGCAGCTCACAAACACTGCAGTTCTACTAAACTGAAAGCTAGTGGCAGCACAGCTCTGCCCATTCTATTAACATACTACGTTAAGTGACCAGCTGTCCACCCATATATATTAAAATACTTAAACCCTGTGTACTTCCAAGGATGGTGGCTGGTTGGTAGACATCCGAGACATTTTTGGAACACACCGTAAGTATTTTGATCAAGAGCTGATGGAATTTACCATTGCCTACTCCTTGTGTGAAAGGTTGGTTTATTCTATATGCAATCTCCACAATAATGGCACTCTGGCCACAAGCAGGCCCGCTGAAGATTGTGATGATAAAGCCAGTAACAAGTAGCTCCCGAGAAGAACTAACAAAGCCTGGGATCCAGAGATTTGTGTCTCACAATTGGATTTTATGGGGTCCAGTAAGGTTGAAATTCCAGCAGAAGACTTCCCAGAATGTGGGACATTCCTTGTGTCTTCCTCTCCTTTACCGATTCTCCTATCTATAGCTGAGCTCAGGCTGCACAGCGTCCCTCAGTGGAGTATTAGTTGGGTATCTTTCTGGGTATGTTTTTCAATTTTCATGAAATGTGTAGGAACACATCTCTGGGACTGCTGATGCTCTCAAGCTTGGCTGAAATGGTTTTGTAAATGAGGAGGATTGGGCCAATGGGCAGAAAACCAGACAAACACAAACAAGCTCTCCAAGCCTTGTTTCCTTAGGAAATCACACTAGTAATAAAATAAAATAAATACTGAGGTTATGCTTGTACAAATCCTTTGAAGTCTGTGGGTGTGATGGGTGGAGTAGAAACAAACATGGCCACCAAAGTATTAATTAAAAGTAAAGTATGAGCAACACCTCAAACACACAAGGCAGAAATGCTGCAATGCCAAGACTAGATCTTTGGACCTAAACACAGCTGGATCCCTCTTCGTAGATCACTTGATACTGTGCAGCACTCCGTAACACTAAAAAACATGCAGCTTCAAGGAGTAGTAAAGCAGATGCACAATAAATATTATGGAACAACCTGAGCACTTCTGGGGCTTGCAAGACTGACTTTTAGGAATAAAACGAAATTCTTTCAACCTCTGTTACTGATTGGACGCATCGAAGGGAACAGTGCAGTAAGAGCTCATATTCTCGTGCCAGGATCACTGACGTTTATGTTTATTATTTTACTTTAAGCCACAAAATTTTACTTACACAAATTTTAATTTAAAGAACTAAAGCTTTGCTATCACATGAAGCATTGGCTTCAACAAAGACACTTGAATGCCTAATGAAAGAATGCTAGATGGAAAATGGTTTGGATTCTCTAACAGGCAAACTATGTCTGTGAAGTTGTTGTGGTGAGGTCTCTACGTATACTTTTTTAATGTTATATTCAGATAAAAAATTACTTAATAGACCATCATAATATTCTTAACTCCTATAAAGAAAAATTAAACCAGAAAGAATCCCAACAAAACCACTCTAAGACTTCTGTAAGTGTTTAGGAGCACAAACAAGCTAAAAACAGATTTAGGGTTTTCAGAGGAACTCCAAGCGATGATGTTTGCCCCCTCTCAGCCATGTGTGCAACACTAAGAGATTTTAATTTTTGTTCTATATAACAGTTTTGTATCTCTCCACTGTCCTGGCTTTATCCATCCAGAAATATTCTTGTTGATTTTTGACCCAGCAACGCAACTTGGTATCTCAACATTTGTATGACCAAGCAACTGAAGACATTTTTCCTTGTACTTTTGAGTAAAAAAGACCAGCAATCTAGTTTGCAGCTGAAAACTAGATGATTTGATTTCCCTTGTTGAAGGAAGGACAGATAGAGACAACTCTCTGGTCACATTATGAAACCATACCACAGACCAAACTGTAATACCAAACCCTTGAACTACAAGCCTAGGCTCAAAATAATCAGGACTGCCACATCCAGACGTGTTCAGTTGTCCAGGAGCACAGAAAAGTAGTTCCTTGGAAAATCATTCTCTCATTACTTCCCAGGGCATACAACTAACATCTTCCCAACTTGGGTAGTCTAATGAGTTCTCAAAGCTCCAGCTTTGTCAGTACTTTCATTAACTTAAACACAAATCGCGAACATGGCTGAAACAGGCGCCAAGAGATGCACACTGTAGCAAGATAGAGAGTAACGATACTAACTCTTGAGGACAAGATAAACCAAGAAAACCTGAAGCACCAACCCCTGAATACAAATTCTGTCCTTTTATAGTGGAGGAGAAGATTCATTCACTAGACACAACACCCAGGCACAGTAACAAGACACAACCAAACCTAACGGCAAAGACCAAGAACAAGACAGAACGAAGGGAAAACTGTTCTATGCATTTCAAACCAAAGCATTTGAAGACTAGCTTAATTATTTCAATATGGTCAGAAGAGACTTTCAAATTTCATAAAACACCAGTTTTGTCCCATAATATTTTGACTTTTCACTTTCTCAGTGGCTCAAGTACTAATGAATAAACATTTCACCATTTCATTCCCCTCCTCTGGCTGAAAAGTAACAGTCGTTACACTGGCTATGATGAACACGGTTTGGAGTATGATTAATTTGAAGACTAGGCTAAATGTAATTTTTGTTAAATAAAGCAATCCAGAAAAATAATTTTTCACAAGAAAAGAACACATACTGACACTGCAATCATGTGACTAATGAAATATAATATAGTTTTAATCAAAGCCCTGAAGTGCATGTCAAGAAACAGATACTATAATCCTCATTCTAGTGCTGATCTGCTGTGTGAATGGGGACGGACACTAGCTGGTATCTCATTTTCTCTATCTACGTAATCAGGATAATCGTTCTTTATCTGTACCTCTAGCTACAGCTATCTTAGGTG